GGCATAGGCGACAGAAACGATAGATTACCAAATGCGGTATAGGATTCGTGCTTTTTGCTATATCTCTGCTTCCCTTTCTGTGTCCCATTTCTGCCGCCCCCCTGTGTGTTGCGCGCGCAACCCTCTCTCTCTCCTCTCCCCTTCCCTCTCCCTCTCCTCTCCCTCTCCCATCTCCCTCTCGCTCTCCCCTCCCTCCGCGTCTCCCTCTCCCTCCCTCTCCTCTCTCCTCTTCCCTCTGCCCGTCGTTCTCCTCTTCCCTCTCCCTCTCCTCTCCCTGCTCCCCTCTCCCTGTCTCCCTGCTCCGCTCTCTCTCGTCTCTCGTTGTCTCTCGTCCTGCCTATCGTGCTAGTGCGTCTCCCCTTCCCTCTCTCCTCTCGCCTCTATGTGTCTGCCGCCCTCTCTCTTCTCTCTCCCTGTCTCTCTCCTCTAGTGGTCTCCCCCTTCTCACTCCTCACTCTCTATCTCTATGATTCGTTCTCCTCTGTCTCTCTCTCATCTCTCTCGTCTCCAGCCATCTCTCTCTCTCTCGCCCACAAAGCGGCGCTATACGCGTCTTATAGCTATATGCCGGTCCGTCACGACGGGTTACGTCCGCTATACCCGTATAGCATGACGAAGTACGTAGGTAAACCACCATTTTGTCAGTGATATGCTACGCATTTCGAACGAGTATAGCTATATCTGGTCGATCAGACGAGGGAAATTATCATGCCAGTATACGAAACTCTGTTTCGTACGGCGACGAACCGTGGATTTTGCTACGTAACCGCTTATTAACACGCGTGGCCGATCAGCGGTGCTCAGGTTAGGCGGTACATGTACATAAATGTGATGTTATACATTGTATCAAGCTAGCCAGCAACCGCATGCTAGAACATGTATGTTTGCAGTGTAGCGGGTGAGTCGAAAGACTACCAGTCTATCGCCCGCAGTCAGCAGGAGCCTCGTCGAACGAAAAATTGGCGCGTTGTGGTCTGATTGTATCCTAACCGGTGCCTCCGGTTAGATTATGATAGTTATAGTAAACAAAGAACAACTCAAACACTGCACTATAGTTTAATTTGTTTGTGTTGAAATATGGCAGTTGCCCAACTTTTTTTTTTATGGCAAGTGCATACTTGACTTGTTGGCAATTTCGTCGCCAAGCTAGAGCATTGTCGCCTGTGCGAGTGGGCGACCCGTCCATTTCAGCCAACTGACCCGCATGAGGACAGACTTAAAATAACTCTTATGCCTCACATCCAAAAGAAAGAAGACCTACCTACCTAACCACTAAAAAAATCATGGGTCGGGGGACAGCTATGATCGTATGATCGTAGACTATCCGTGTTCGATTCTTGCTGCGCGTACATGTATCAGCATTCATTGTTTGCAGACGAAGGATGGGTGCATGCGTGACGTATCGCGATTGCATCTTGTAATGAGCGACAAATCTCGACTACTGGCGGAGAAATTGCGGTTATCGACGCGGCAGACCTTTTGCTGCTTTTGTTTGGCGAGCGTTCTGCGTAATCTCGCCACTTGTTTACGAGATACTGTCAGTGTCTCGCACCTCTGCCCACGTCAAGTTTGCTTTCTTCAAGGGGCCAGACGTGCCTGCCGAAATATCATAGGCTGTTTGAAGTTGGGTGACCTGGGAAAAAGTTTAAACCGGTGTTTTCGAAACTCGTAGTCGTAGCAGGATTATCAGCAGCCGCCGTCTGATTATAGCTGTGTTGACTATCGTATATATTGTTTGTTCTCTCTCTCTCTCTCTCTCTCTCTCTCTCTCCTCTCTCTCTCTCTCTCTCTCTCCCTCTCTCTCTCTCCGCCTCTCCTTCTCTCTTGTCTCTCTCTAGTCTCTCTCTCTGTCTCTCTCCCTCTCTCTCCTTCTCTCTTCGTCTCTCTCTCTTCGTCTCTATCTCCTCAATGTTAGATGAATAGTGTTGGTTTAAAGTTGGATTTTATTATTTATTTTATTTAGTTAGCTGGTTGGGTAGTTGGCTACCTGCCTGCTTGCCTGCATGCCTGCCTGCCTGCATGCGTGCCTGCTTGCCTGCATGCTTGCCTGCATGCCTTCATCCGTTCCTGCTTGCCTTCCTGCATACGTGCCTGCTTGCCTGTCTGCCTGCTTGCCTGCATGCCTGCCTGCTTGCCTGCCTGCCTGCCTGCCTTCCTGCCTGCTTGCCTCCCTGCATGCATGCCTGCTTGCCTGTCTGCCTGCTTGCCTGCCTGCCTGCATGCCTGCCTGCTTGCCTGCCTGCTTGCCTGCCTGCTTGCCTGCCTGCCACCTTGCCTGTCTGCTTGCCTGTCTGCCTGCCTCCCTGCCTGCCTGCCTCCCTGCCTTCCTGCCTGCCTGCGTGCCTGCCTGCCTCCTTGCCTGCCTGCTTGCCTGTTTGCCTGCTTGCCTGCCTGCTTGCCTGCCTGCTTGCATGTGTGCCTGCCTCCCTTCCTGCCTGCCTCCCTGCCTCCCTGCCTCCCTGCCTCCCTGCCTGCTTGCCTGTTTGCCTGCTTGCCTGCCTGCTTGCATGTGTGCCTGCTTGCCTGCCTGCCTCCCTGCCTGACTGTCTCACTGGCGAGCAGGTTAGTTAGGGTTAGGTGTTTAGTATATATACTGACCATGTCTTTCATTGTTCAGGTATTTCATCTTCACGTCGTTCTGGGCTTACAAGATCTACTACGTGTATGGCTTCATGCTGCTGGTCTTCCTCATCCTCGCCGTCGTTACCGTGTGCGTCACCATCGTCTGCACTTACTTCCTTCTCAACGCTGAAGATTACCGATGGTAAGTTACCCACGTGTGTGCACGCATGCGCACGTGTGTGGTCAGTCTCTCTCTCGCTTTCCTTCTCTTACCCCCCTTTCTCTCTCTCTCCCTCTCGTTTCTCCCTCGTTTCTTTTGCCAAGAGGTTGCCTCTCTCTTCTCTCTGTCGGTCGGTCTTTCCGGGCGCACTTATAAACACGTATTATGCGCGCTTTGTTGCGAATCAAATTTGATTATGTTATCCGCTATATACACACATACAGACAGGGGTCAGTTTGGCAATTCGTCATTAGAATAAATGTTAGTATAAATGGTAAGCTTTTTTTCTGCCAGAAGTCTTCTGATAAGTTAATAAGTTTCTCTGTATTTCCTCACCATTGCGAATTACGTAGTTTCATCGTTTGAAAGCACACGCTGTCTGGTGAACGCGGCGCCGCCATGACCTAACGCGCCGCTCGTGACTTACCTTGCAGGCCTTGGACTAGCTTCCTTGCCGGGGCGTCGACAGCGACATACGTGTACTTCTATTCCTTCTACTACTACTTCTTTAAAACAAAGTAAGTGTGTGCGTTGTCACCTTCGCTTGATCAGGGAGGCTGATGAAATAACATAGTGTATTGACTGTGTTGCATTGTATCTAGGTGTGTGTTTGCGTGCATGCGTGCGCGTACGTGCACTTGTGCGTGTGTCTGTGCTGCAACTGTAAGAATCTCATGGTTAGCACAGTCCTTGAAAAGTCCTTGAATATGAGGGGAGTCCTTGAAAAGTACTTGAATTTAGTAAATGTTGATTTTGTGCTTGAAAAGTTTTTGAATATCATGAAAATGTCCTTGAATTTTTAGAAAGAATCCTTGCCTGTAATAAAAAAAAAATTTGTACCATCAATAATGTGCAAACCTCAATAAAAATTGCGTTAAATGAGCTTAAAAAGCTATATAGACACGATAGACAGTTAAATGACGATCACAAATTACAGTAAGTCAGTCAGTCAGTAAATCAAGGTATGTTGTAGAAGTGACAGTGTTTAGAAGGGTTTATAAATGTGATCCAGGTAAGTTTTAGAGGTGACAGTGATTAAGAATGATGTTATTATTATATTAATCCAGGTATTTTTTGTTCTGTGTATGAATTCTGATAAAATGTCTGATAAAATGACCTTTAATTTCCGATAGAATGTCCTTGAAAAAATTTTCAGTCCTGTATGAACCATGAATCTTAAGTAGTATATCATGATGTTGATGAGTTGTGGGTCGCATGCCACGGTCCGATGACTTGACTAACGCTATGTCACGCTGATGCTTTCTTGCAGAATGTATGGTTTATTCCAAACGACGTTTTACTTTGGCTACATGGCAATGTTCTGCCTAGCTCTGGGACTCATGTGTGGTAAGTGAAACTTAAAATATATAGTCTCGAAAGAAAGCTTTAAACTGGTAATTGTTTTAACCGGTTTTCGTTTAATTGTGTCAATAGAAGTGCAAAGTTTGCACGAAGTGAATAATGGTAGTTAGATACACAGTGCGATGTGATGAGTGTATCACAGTATATAAAGCCGATACATGAAGGAGCGGGGTAGATGCAGGCGAAAGGGGTGGACGCGGAGAGAAGGGGAGGATGCGAGAGAGCTGGCTTAACGATCGACATCTCGGTTTCAGGAACGTTTGGATACGTCGGGACAACTGTATTCGTCCGAAAGATCTACGCGACGGTGAAGATCGACTGACGGAGAGACCGACACGGCAGACTGCGACCGCGCGGCGACGCCCCGCTGCCATTGTCCTCATCGCGGCTAGAGCGCCCTCTACTGTCCTTGTTGCCGCGCGGTCGAGTTGCGCTTCGGTAGAATCTAGGATGCCCTTTTGTTATCCGCCGTCGACGAGAGACGAGTCGACGCATTCGTGCGCCGACATTGAGCGGCGGTGGCGCCACCTGTACACATCCGGCGTTGCCGCTCGAGGGAAGAACGTCGCACGAGGAAACGAGGCGTGATGAACGTCCCCCGTGCACACGTGCTGCCACCTGCTGGCGAGCGAGCTTAGCGACGCGGGACGCGCTCGTTTGTTTACAGACTGTACATATTTATTTCTGCATGATCGCGTCGGAAGGCGATCGCTAACGATAATTAATATAAATGATGATGACGTTAATGATGACGATGATGATGATGATGACGATGATGATGATGGTGGTGGTGGTGGTGATGATGATGTTAATGATGATGATACGAATGACAACTACGATTCACCTGGCAAGGGCCTTATTCCCCTGTAAGGCCGCTAGAACGGCGAAACGTCGTGATTCAAAACGTAATTGGGGGGTGGGGCGAGATTTCACGTCAGGTTGGTCCCTCCCACGCGCGCGTGGCGGGTGTGTGCCGTGGCATCATCACACTAATGTGATGTCATTTGCCGCACCCGACGTCGCATCGCTGATTCACATGCCTAATCGCAGCGGGGGAAAATGGCGGGCACCCTGGTTTCCATTCTGTCAGCTGAAGGCAGGCTATAGACCGATGGTCATGACTGGGTGGGTGGGGGGGGGGGCAGGGGTGTGGCGGACGGCGGTTAGAGACCGATGGTCATGACTGGGTGGGGGGGGGGCAGGGGTGTGGCGGACGGCGGTTAGAGGGTTGGGTAACGTAAGCGGTCACACGCAACTTTTTGAGTTTCGTCGGGCAGTCTGAGGGATGCGTAGGCGCAGGGTTATGCCTTCCTCACTCTGTCTGACCTCTGAATCGGTCGGAGGGAAACGACGGCTAGAGAGCTGTGAAACCGCCGAGTTTCAGACTGCGTGATGTCGCGCGCGGCGGGGGGGGGGGCGCGAGTGAATCCCCCGCGGCGGGGGGAGGGGGCGCGAGTGAATCCCCCGCGGCCGGGGGGTGGGGTGCGAGTGAATCCTCCGCGGCGGGGGGAGGGGCGCGAGTGAATCCCCCGCGGCCGTCGTTCCTGCTACAGCTTCTTGGTTCGTCTCGTCGCCGGGCTGGCGCGTCGTTCAATGTGTATTACTGCAGCTTTGAAGGATTGTTTGTGTTCGTACGCACGAACAATCTTGACACACTAATTCGTATCGTGCTAGTGCAATTACACTAGTGATTATACTTTCGATTTATCAACAGCGTATATGCTACATATTTTGGGGCATTAAGTGTATGTTATACTTAGGGAAGATTGTATTGTTTTCGAAGTGTAACTGTGTAATCGATTATTTTATTGTAAATGAAGTATTGGAAGAGTAAAATATGTTTTCATATTATACTTGTGGCTGCTTTGTGTTTGCCTATGTCCGTGAGCTGTTCTGTCGATGACGTGCATATTTCTGTAGGGGCCACTGTATTTTAAGATGGGAAAATAATTATATAATCTCAATAACCAGTCAATAAATGTTTTGAATCAAAAATTTAAATCAAGTTCAATTGGATTAATCCCACTCAATTCTTACTATCTATCTAGATCTACCCTTGTATCCCCTCTCTCAACTACTATCTATCAATCTATATATATTTGTATACATAGATCTGTCTGTTTTTTAACTGTTTATCTTTACCTTTGCGTATCTCTGTCTGTCCGTTCGTTTGTCTGTTCATCTATCTATCGATTCATCTATCTATCCATTCATCCATCTGTCCATTTATCTATCTATCCATTCATCTATCTATCCATTTATCCATCTGTCCATTTATCTATCTATGCATTTATTTCTCTATCCATGTATCTATCTATCCTCTATTCTATTGAGCTATTTCTGTTATTTTTATGTTATTTGAACAAATAAACAAAACAAGGCTGATTAAGGCAGAAAATGAATATATTTTTTTGGCCTTACTTAGATAGCTAATAATTAATAAACTTAGGAATTACTATAATAAAGGGAAAAATTAAATAATATAAAAAATAATTATTATGGCTACATCAGGTAAATGCCCTGGGGAAAATTAATTGTCTTTTTTTTTTATATAATATGATTATTAGTGCATCTAATATTATTCTGTAACTCATATATCTCAGAATAACATCAGGGACATAAATTAATTTGGGCTGCAATTTCTATGCCGATGCATAACCTGTATGATACAGGCGGTATGTTCCGCTTCACTACACTAACCGTTAGCGCATAGAAATAGATAGACAACGATAGAACGATAGTTGTCTAGAGAACGATCGAGAATATACAATCGATGATATACAACGATAGTCTAGAGAACGATAGTTGTCTATCTATTTCTATGCGTTAGCGGTATCATATAGGCAGATACGGGTTATGCCGATGATCGCTCCTCGCTCTAACCTCTGACGATACAACCAATAATCAGCCAATCAGCGCTGGGACAGTAAAAAATGAGATCATATTACCGTGTATGCGTGCGCTTGAATTTTTATTTCTCATTGGAAAGCTTATCACTCTTTGCAATTGTTAATTTCAAAAGCTATAATCTTTTTTGAATCCGATAGTGTCAGCGGCTCATCCCGGGTGCGTTGCTGGAGCGGCCGGGAAATTTACGAAGGCAGCCTACTTTTTTTGGCGATACTTTCCGATACATCGGTGAGACCGCTTGTTGCGGCCATTGCTGTTTCAGACAAAGGTAGTTGTACACATTTCTCACTTTTTAATTCTGCCGATCTGCAGTAATTTTTATGCTGATGTGTATTTAATTGTATTGAGGCATTTTTCGCTATTATATAGCACCTTGGGTTGCTTTTTATTTAGTAAGATTTTAAGTATTTACGACGTGATAACGTTAAATTGTTTCATCTTTGAAATTGCCTTTCCGACGGATTGACGTCAATGATAATGGCGATGCTAATCTAATGTAGTTCAGTTTTAAACCGAACTGATACACATTTAAGTTAGTAATCGGCTCGTAATTAGTCGATTTATAGCAAAGTTGTGCACAGAATCTTTGTTCTAAAATTGGTAAATGAGAATATTTTTGTTTTCATGTATTTGTGATTCTACAGATCAGAGCTACGATCAGATTACTGTGACGTCATCATGTACAAGTCAGACGATAACGGTTACGATGAGGGTTTCGTAGTGCGAGCGCGTGGTCTCCCATGGTCGTGTGAAGCTTCAGAGATTGTGAAATTTTTCGGTGGTAAGTAACTACGTCTAACAGGGCACGAAATTCACATTTTTTTGCACCGGCCGAGAGGGCTGACCAGTAACAGCAATTTCTTACCAGCCCTCACCATAATTTACCAGCACTCATAAATTTTGTTTGTAAAATCAGCGTCATGTTTCACGCTTGCATTTTCGATTTCAAATTTGTAAAATGTTTATAAATTATGGTGTGATATCCTTCAGGTAAAACAGTAATGTAGGCTAATTAATGCTATAAATGAAAATGTAGGTACTCGCTAACAGTAACACGGGCTGAAACCAGGAACTCGGAGGGCCGGACCGTGTTTTGCCAATATTACCGGCCCTCCAAATATTTTGCCAGCATATGCCGGTGGGCCTGGGAGTGCTAATTTCTCGCTCTGTCTAATGATTATATTTCTTGATCCCTCGTCTGTCACCCTAAGAGCTGCCCTGGTCGCTAGTAGATACACTTTTAAAGCGTATATTGCGAGAATTTTCCAGTGTTTTCCCCACTTTCATGATACCTACCGTTATTGCTTGAGTAACAGCAATTGTCTAGAGTAATGATAAAATGTCTTAGAACCTTCGTATTCACCAAATGCAATGAAATCATGCACGATTACAATTTTGCGTTCTGTTTCTGTTTACCGTTGCCATCTCTCGAATTTTCTTGTGGTAGCGCGAGACATCTATCACGGTGCAGCAATGCATACCACGCACCGTAGAAATCAGGTCAGAGTGTAAACACAGACGCTCATACTAGCGTAAACAGCAGTGTAGTACTAATGCCACGTAAAGTCTGTTATTAGAGAAGCTTGTGGATTGCCAGTCAGATAGTAACACGGGAATGACAATGACAAAAAGTGCTCTGAATTATTGACATAAAAACTCAATAATATTTACCAAACAGAATTGCACGCCCTTTTGTTTTAATTATGTTCGCTTGTTTGAGACGCCATTTGTGATTTTTGAAAGTCTTGACTCGAAAAAATTTGCTGCTGGTATGATGTGGTCAAATCAATTTTTCTATGCTATAACTGCATAAAATATTGGTGTTTTGAATGTTGGTGTAATCAGTGATATTTTCGCTGTCAGGTGAGACTATATTCAGCTATATTTATTTTTCTGAGCAAAATTCTCGCAATGATCGTTTTAAATACGTGTCTCCCAAAATAAATTATTGCACTGGTATATTTAATAACTGTTTAGATGAACTGTATAGGATTCCTACTTTGTTCCGAGAAATTATTACCGGTGAATTGTGCATAATCTTGTTTTGCGACCGCGTGCCGTTATGAATTCATACTTACAATTTTGAAAGTGGCTGATAACACATGAGAACATGAAAAGGGACAGCTTTAATATATTATTTCCACTAAACGTATTGCTAGATTTTTTATGTATGAACACCTACTCTCTCTCTGGCTCGCGCTCTCTATATCTCTCTCTCTCTCTCTCTCTCTCTCTCTCTCTCTCTCTCTCTCTCTGGCTTGCTCTCTATATCTCTCTCTCTCTTTGCTCGCACACAGAGGCTCGCATTAAGGACAATGAGGACGGCGTGCACTTCACGTTTAACCGCGAGGGCCGGCCGAGCGGAGAGTGCTTCGTAGAGCTGGAGTGTCAGGAGGACATGGATCTCGCACTGCAGAAGCACAACCAACACATGGGCCACCGTTACATCGAGGGTGAGTAGCTTTCCCTGTCCTCCACATTCTTCTCTTGATGAGCAATTCGCTCCTGTGAGGCCCAAGATAGCTCCCATAAAATTTTTGACGAGAGCTATTTTTCCCATAGACTTGAAAAAGAGCTCCCGTGAACAAAAAGTATTTTTTTTCCTGGCAGTAGTCCTCGGGTGCGCTGCCCGCTTTCCCTGTGCTCCACATCCTTCTCTTCTTCCTCCTTCCTTCTCCTCCCACCCTCTCATCACTATCTGTATTGCATGTAATTCAAATATAAATACACGTACTGAAGACAGTCTTTTTCATGGAGAAGAAATCTGACAGATGCAATAGTGTTGAGCAGTTAAAATTTATTCTGTTCTCGCCGCGCGACCGCTCGACTATCATATTTATATCGATGATTATTCTTGTATTCCGTCTTTTCCCGCGGCTCGCGCAAAAAAATATTCATAATACTCATAATAATATGCTAGACCCATCGATCGACCATGATTATTCTCTTATTCCGTCTTCAGTGTTCAAGTCGAAGTACAGTGAGATGGAGTGGGTCGTTAAGCGCAGCGGACCCAACCAGAACGCTAGCGAGGAGGCGTGCGTCAGACTCCGCGGACTGCCGTTCGGATGTTCCAAGGAGGAGATCGCTCAATTCTTTCAAGGTAACGCGTCACTGCGAACGCGGGCACCCGTCATGGGGCGCCATCGTCGTCGACGATCGTTCGACCGTCGTTTAGGGGGGTGTGGGACAGAGATCGGTGGAGGCGGGGGAGATTTAGTCTTGGTGTAAGCAGGATGCCCCTTCGCGTCGTTCCTGTGTTTAACTCTCAGCAGTACTCGCGCTGTTACGTGCCGGGACGTGTTGGACGAACGCTGAGCTAGTCTCGTGGGCAGAAGGTCGCCCTATAGTTACGCTGGCCTAAATACGATGATCGGTTACCAGGCTGCGGGGGCCTCACATGCGTTACCAGCACCCTGTGCCCCTGGTCACACATGGTCGTTTGATGGAAGGGTTGTGTTGAGGGCGGGTGTAGCGATAGCAGAAGAATCTAAATTAATCGCGTATCCAGGGTTTAAGTTGTCGTTCGCCAATTTGCCAAATGTGAATTAAAGTTAAATTTGGCGAAAAAATGTCATCGTAATTTTTCACACCAAATTAACCAAATTGCTAACAATTTTTCTGTCCAGCTTAGACTGCTTAAACCCTGCGTATCATTCTTCACAGAGGGCTTAGCGTTATTATCATATTGCAACATTAAATGACGGTCGTTGCGCCGTAGGTGAGGAACGGGACTAGGGGTTGCGTGGAAACGAACCTCCGCTGATGTGTTAATGTGTCACGTTGCCTGCGTGTTCTAGTCTATTCCCCCCCCCTCCCCCCGTGCAGCCTGACCCCCCCTCCCTCCATGTGCGTGTGTGTGCGCGTATTTATCACAGGGACGTGCGCCCTTCCTCAACATTCTGCCACGTGTACGTGCCCTTACGTCCGCACAAATACGTCCTCCTCACTCCCATGTTCATGCGTACCCGGACGGTTTGCCTTGTAGAGTAATCGTCGTGGCAACGTTTGGCTACGCAGCGTGTGTGTGTATATCTTGTTTTTCTCTTGGGTCTGGGCAGGGTTGGAAATCGTGCCAAACGGGATCACACTTCCAATGGACTTCCAAGGGAGAACAACAGGGGAGGCCTACGTGCAGTTTGCCAATCCAGATATCGCCGATCGGGCATTGGGCAAACACAAGGAAAAAATCGGGCACAGGTGGGAACCAAGTGGCGCCCTCGGGTGGTTTGTGAGCCCGGGTTGGTGGTATACGTTACGACTGGCGGCGGTGCTTCCTCGAAATGCATACAGGCGGCGTGATCGCGCGCGTGCGGGGGGGAGGATCAGACGAGAGAGAGGGATCGGGGTTGGGAAGGGGTCAGACAAGAGAGAGGGATCGGGGGTGGGAGGGGTCAGACGACGGAAAACGTCGCGGTTTTTTTGTGGCGAGATTTCTTAATAAGCTACAGTTTCGATCAAAAGAAAATTTAGTGTAGCGAGGGGGCCGGGTGTGATGGACGGACGGCCGGACGCGCGCACCGCGCTGTATGCATTTCGTGGGGAGAGGAGATCGTCCGCACGCTTGGTCGTCGCCCCGGGCAACGGCGGCACACACAACACAGGCCGAGGACAATGCGAGAGCCAGCTAACGATGAGGAGGAGGCTGGGGAGGAGGAGGAGAAGGAGAAGATACGGGCCGGTGCGGGCCGGGATGGTGGTATCGTTCACTTCAGCGTGTTTTACGTTCCGCGATGCTGCAACTGCCGCATCGTCGCGCGACGACCCGCCCTTCCCCTCCCGGCAACGTGGGTGAGGAGGAGTGGTGTGGGTGTGGCAGCTGGTGGGACCCCAGTGGTGGGGAGGAGAAGGAGGAGGAGGAGGAGGAGGTGGGACAGGATGGGATGGTGTGGAGACGGTATGTCGTCGCGAACCTGGGTTACCTGGAAAACAGGAATCCCTGTTTGACGGCGCGTCGGGACGGTGAAATCGATAGATTCCCCCCAACGTACAGCTTTTACATCTTCTGCCTCGCGGAGCTTCGGCGTCGGTCGTTTTTGCGATGAGTCGAGAGCGTGAGTCGGCTAACGCGTTTCCTACGGAGCCGACAACGCGTGTCACAGTAGAATGCCTTTGTAACCGTGGTAACGAAATCCATGTATTCGCTCGCATGTTAATCGACTTTAATGTCGAATGCTCACGGCGTCGTAGTTTTTTTTTACGGAATATTTAACGTAGTTGTAAAATTTCACACAGATTGTTTAGACGTAAGATTTGCTCCTTGCGTGAGATAAATTTGTGCGCATTAGAATGTCGCGTTGCTCTCTTTGATCAAAATAGCGCGATAGCAGATTCTATTTGATTCCTCGGTCTTCCCGCGTGCGTGCAACGGATAACAAGCTAATTTTTGCTAGAGTGGTGACCAGAGTGAGAGTAAATCTAGATCACCACGTAAGCATTCGTGTGCGCGCCTCTGTTTGCGTAGCGAAAACCTGCTCTAGGACCGGCCCGGTTCTTGCGTAAAATCTTGCAAGGTCGCGAACGCAATCTCTCTCTCTTCGTCGCGCTCGAATAATCATCAAGTTTCTCCGTGCGGTAAAACGTATCTGGAAAAGATGCTCGCAAAATTCGCGTAAATTTGGTGATCATAACGTGAGACGTCCCCTCCCCCCCCGCCCGCGCGGCCTCGCGCCCTAAACGGCAGACCTCTGACCTTTGACCCCCATCGCAGGTACATTGAGATCTTCAAGAGCAGTCTGAACGAGGTTCGTAACGCTCTCGGTGGAGGAAAGATGCGCAGCCTCATGTCGATGAGTGTACGTCCCGGACCGTATGACCGCATGGGGGGAGGAGGCGGAGGAGGAGGAGGAGGAGGAGGCGGAGGGCGCTTCAGCGGCCGGGGAGGATCGTTTGGAGGTCGCGGCGGCGGCGGCGGAAGATTCGGAGGTAACGACCCGCCTTCTTACCGTGTTCTCACAGTATTTTCATCACGTTTTCACTGTGATGTTCTCGTCGTGTTTTTATCGGGTAATTTGTTGCCAGGGCGTCAGGCCAGAGACGTCTCGTATCTGTGTCTCGCTGCGGCTTTGTCGAATTATAATTTGGGGATTTTTTTGTTCTGCCGTCTTCTGTGGTTTTATCGTCTAGAGCTGCTCTACTGTTTTACGTTCTGAACCGGCTCTACAGTGTTCAAACTCTTTCTATCTCAACTTCATCGTACGGCATCTCGATACTCGAGGCAACAGCTGAGGCGCTAACGATTCTCGCTTGCGTTTGCAGGAGGCGGTTTCTATGACGACGGAGACTTTGACGGCGGCTACAGCGGCGGGTTCGGAGGAGGAGGCGGTTACGGCGGACGAGGAGGTAACAGCTTCTCTTCTAGATTTTCTTCCCGTTGCCGGTTCTTCTCCCCTCTCGCGCGCGCGCCACGGAAACATTCACCGGTGACTCGCGCTAGATGGACGTTCCTTGTTGCTGTGCGGCTGCTAAGGTCAGCTAAGCGTTAACGAGCGTCGATCGTACGACAGTCGTCGTCACCGCGCGGGCAGAGAGGCGGCCCGGGTCGAATCCTAAGTTAGATTCTATTAATTAGCGATTAGCTTCCGTTATCGGCGAATATCTGTTGGTTCTACGCGAGATCCTTTCAAAGGATGGCGTCGCGAGGCTAACCGTGGCCGTCGATGGTTTGCGACACAGTGGTTCTTTTTTCTCGAAGACTTCTAGAGCATTTGCTGATTCATTATAAATATTGACATCATTATAAATATTAGCTTCTCCGTTTGCAATCCGATCGGCGACGCATTTGACATAACGTCAGCGTGGATGGTTCACACTCGGCTTTTTCTCGGAGACTTCTTGAGCGCAATCGTCGCTTCATTTCTAGCTAACGTATTACTTGACTGTGATTGACTTGAACGCTATGGTGTGTTTGCAGGCAGGGGCGGTCGCGGCGGCATGGGAGGCGGCGGCTACGGCGGACGCATGGGCGGCGGCGGCGGAATGCCCATCACTAACTTTGTGAGCAACACAGGACACAGTGTGCATATGCGCGGCCTCCCGTTCAAGTGCACCCAGCAAGACATCATTGATGTAAGTGTCGACATGGGTGCGCGGGTGACGATGGGGGAAGGCTCGGATGGGGGAGAGAGTAAGGCAGAGGGAGGAAGATAGGGGAGAGACAGAGAGAGAGACAGATAGAGAGAGAGAGAGAGAGAGAGAGAGAGAGAGATGGGGGTAGGGGCAAGATTTGCAATGCGAAGCGGGGACATTGGGGGGGCTTGTTAGTTAAGCCTAACACAGACTTGCGACTTTTGGTTGCTCGTCGCTGCAACCTGCAACCGCATGCACCGCTTCACCATGTGTGCGCATCCAAGTTGCTGTCTACCCGCACACATGCGATTTCGAAGCGATTTCAGAGCGATTGGGAGCGACAAGTTGCTGAAAATCAAACCAGTTTGATTTCTTGCAACTCGTTGCAAGCGACCAGAATCGCTACGAGTTGTATGAAAAAGTCGCAAGTCTGAGCTAGGCTTTAGCGAGTGGCACGAGATAGGGAGTGGCATCTCTAGGAAGTAATGCGAGATACAGCGAGCCTTCGTTGTGCCGCGGTAGCGAGATATAAACATAGAGAGGGGGCGCCGCGGTAGCTTATATCGTGGGAGACCCATGCACACCCTGGGGACCACGCCACGTGACTGAACATTACTAAGAAACGGGAGCCTCCTAACGTGAAACGGAAACCTCCTAAGGAGAGCCTCCTTCTAAAGGCTTCTGTTGCTTCCGTCGGTCGCGCGGCGCCGCCACCCGTTTAACGCACGCTCTCTTGTTTCAGTGGTTCTCGCCGATATCCGTGGTGAACGTGGTTCTGGAGCACGGTCCGGACGGCCGGGTGACGGGGGAGGCAGACGTCGACTTCCCATCGCACGACGATGCCGTCAAAGCCATGTCCAAGGACAAGGCTAACATGCGTGAGTCGAGCTGTACTTCTCCTTCTCTTCTTCCCTCTCCTGCCTTGGTTGCTCTCCCCTCTCTCTAGTTTTATCATGTTATAGTTTCTTTACACGTTATGTATGTATATATATATATATATAATCTAAATGATATATCCGTCTCATTCGTGTTCGTCTCTGCAGAGCAACGATACATCGAGCGAGCTGCTAATAGTCCTGGAGCCTGTTGTCAGAAACAAAATTAGTCTTAACATTAGTCTTAACATTAGTCTTAACATTAGTCTTAACATGAACTTTTTCTTTTAGTCCGTCGACAGAAACGCTGCAGAGTTACGAGAATGAAAAATCGTAGCAGATTTCCTCATAACAATACGAAACAAAGTGATGTCGACGGTCTAGGAGAAATTGTTAATGTTAAGACTAATTTAGTTTCTGACAACGGGCCGCTGCTCGTAGCTTTACAGGTAACGATAGATAACAGCTACACCTGTACATAGTAGCACACATAGATACGCTACCATCTCATTCATCTTTGTGTCTGCAGAGCACCGATACATCGAGTTGTTCCTCAACTCCACCCTGGAAGGTCGCGGCAGCCGCGGAGGCAGCATGGGAGGAAACGGCGGCGGCGGAGGCGGCATGGGCACCGGCGGGGGTTTCGGGAGTCCGGGCGGTGGCATGCAGAACCAGAGCTTCGGCGGGGGTTTCAGCGAGACCGGCGGCTCCGGCGGGGGTTTCGGAGGCGGGTTCGGCGGGGGTGAGTAGGGTTTCGATGTTGTTCGCGCTCTCTCGTTTTTCTCTTTTTCTTCGGAAAGTTTTCTCCCTCCCTCCGTTTCTTTCTTCTTGCCTCTCACACGAGGACCCCCAAGTTTTTCCGCGCGCGCACGCACGACACGTGTTTTCACGAAGGCGACTCTCGTGACTCTTGTTTGCCGTTAGATAACGCCGCGTCGAACTGGCTCACGGACGCTCCGTTTTGAAGGGGGCGGCGGTGGTGGCGGCGGCCGACCTGGCGTGTGCGTGGCGTGCAGTGAGGCGGTGAGTTGGCGTGTTTGCTTTGCTAGCTTCCGCGCTTGCTGCTGCTTCCGCTCTCGTCTCGTCGCTCGTCCGTCACGCAGCATCGCTCGTCACCTTGTTTTGCGCCTCCTCCCCAAGTGCAGCAAGCGCGCCTTACATACGACGAACAACGGTGGGCGGGTCGGGCGAACGATCGCCGAATCGCGTTGATCAGACGCCGCCGACGCCGCCATAGATTGTTTGACGACTTGCGCCGAGCGTTCCCTGGCGGCCGTCTTTAGCGATTCCTTGCTTTCCGCATCACTAGCTGAGCTTCTCATATATCCTGCTACAAGTCTACCCTGCTACTAGTACACCCTGCTCCTTGTACACCCTGCTACTAGTACACCCTGCTACTAGTCTACCCTGCTACGAGTGACGGAATTGTAAGCACGCGGCTGTATTTGCGGTCGTGGTGATGTCACACTGGCGTGCGCACGACGACACATCGCGCGCGCGCAGCGGATAACATCCTCTCCGTCGTTCGCTCCCTGACCATCCATCACAATGTCGTCACGTCGGTCGCGTTATTGCATGAATCTTTCTTCTTGGGCGGAAGAGCGGCGAACGCTTGAGCTTCGTCGTGACCGCGTCGTCATCGTCGCGGATCGCACGCGCGCCTTGTCTGTGTTGATGAACTATCGTCTAACACCTCTTCCCTCTCGCTTTTCAGGTAACCAGTCAGGAGGAGGCGGCGGTGGCGGCGGCGGCGCGGCGGCTATGGCATGGGAGGAGGCGGTGGTAGCATGGGAGGAGGAGGAGGAGGAGGCATGGGAGGCCTGGGCGGGGGAATGGGAGGCGGGGGGTCCGGGCGAATAGGAGGCGCATGGGTGGGGGCATGGGCGTGGGGCATGGGCGGCGGCATGAACCAGATGGGAAGTATGGGAAGCAACTACACCGCGTTCTAGGACCTCGCGCGAACATCGAGAATTCACTAGCGACTAGCCATTCCTACACTAACAGCTCCGGAAACGACGCGTGCGCGAACCGTGGCCGGATTCGCGACTGCGCGGTCGTCGATCGTGCGTCGTTCAGACGAATCTCTGCTGCTGCGGTCTCGCGTTATTTTTCTACGTATCGACGCGTCGTTATGGCAACGAGTCGTTGCACCCATCGTCATCGTTATCGTCGTCGTTTCTCGCGGCAGTTTTCTCACTTCTCCACGCCGCGTCGGTTTTAAAGTTCGTCATTGTATTTTACTCGTTTGGTCGAGCGTCTACTTGAGCGCCCTCTGGCGGGAAGCTGCTGACCACGTGTTTGCGTGTTTGTGTGTTCGAGGAAGGTGAACTCGATCCTTCTCCCTCGCATGCCGATTGTATTTAGCGAGCGGATGTTGAAACATCTTGTATTTAGCGAGCGGATGTCGCGACGATGTTTCGCGGACGCTGCGTCCGATAAACTGATGTCCTTTCTAATCGTAATTATGCTTCGATAAATCTTTGCGTGTTCGTGAATGATTTGTGAATATTCCATTTTCGTTTGTGTACAAATCAAACTTGTAATAGTGCGCAGAAGCGGGATTTTAATTTCGAGAAGTTTTTGTCATTTTTTTCGGCGGTGACTACGATATATTTGTGTAATCCATCTTCACGCGATGTTGTAAAAATAAAATAGTTCGTGTTCGTCTATATGAATGACTTCCTCGACCCTCTGTTTTGCATTCGTTCTCGTAACCAACATGTGAACCACAGGGACAACTCCGTCTACTTGACATTGGATTATACGAAAGGTCCTCACCGGCAGTGCAATATTTGAAAGAAATCTTCACTGAACATTTTCTTAGTGTAAATTCAAATTGTGGCGGGGGAAAGGGTGAAAATGTTTTAGCTGAAATATGGCCATTTGCCTAAAATAACATTCGCCGTACTATTAATACCATGCGCGAGAGGAGAGTGAGGAAGTGTGGAAGAGAAAGAAACGCGGAGAGTGAGGAAGTAGTAGGTCTCAGGGGAGATAGTGATCCGTTAGAGGCGCCACCATCCAATGGCATTAGGAAATGTTATTTTTAATTTATACATCAGAGCCATCTAGCGTGAAAAATATTGATAAAGTGCGCATATATGGAATAACCCAGATTCAGATACATACAGTTACTCACTCCCCTCTCGCGGATGGTATCGCCCATGCGCAGTCAAGCGTGAAAAAACTTTTGCAGGAAATTCGCTGCATTTCGGCTTGAACTTTTTCACTCCCCGAGGCACAAAATGTGAATTTACGCCTATAATACACGTGCACGCGCGCGTGCGACCACACGCGCGTATGCGCATCCATTAGTGGGTGTGTATGTGTGTTTTTGTGACTGTAAAAACGCGTATTATAGCCGTAAATCCACTTTTTGCGCAATGAAGAGTGAAAAAGTTGGAGCCGAAATGCAGCTAATTTCCTGGAAAAGATTTTTAACGCTTGACTGCGCATGGGCGATACCATCCGCGAGAGGGGAGTGAGTAACTGTATGTATCTGAATCTGGGTTATTCCACATATGCGTTCCGGTGCCCGAGGCCAGTGAGCATGCACCCGAGGGTCTCAGGAAGACATCAGAGCCATCTGGTGTGAAAAATATTGATAAAATACGCATATGTGGAATAACCCAGATTCAGATACATACAGTTACTCACTCCCCT